GATATAATAAATTTAGACCAGACAGGGTTCATAAAGAACAGACGAACAAGAGACAATATTAGAAGAACCCTAAACGTGATCAAAAAGACAGAAAAACAAGCAATCATACTGGGCTTAGACGCACAGAAAGCATTCGATACTGTGGACTGGTCATTCTTATTCAGAGTCTTGTCAAAATTCAACTTCTCCAGCAAATTTATAAAGATAATTCAGGAACTGTACAATAAGCCTACAGGTAAAATTCGGAYCAATKGKRGGCTRTCGGAAGAAATAAAAATTGAACAGGGGTGTAGACAGGGATGTTCCATATCCCCATTATTATTTGCCATATTTATTGAACCTTTAGCACAATGGATCAGGCAAAACACCAAAATACACGGCATAACRATAAACCATAATGAACAAAAATTAGCACTATTCGCAGATGATATATTAATCTATCTGGCRAGACCTCGGGAATCCCTCCCGGAATTACACAAAATTTTGTTGGAGTAYGGGAAATTTTCAGGTTACAAACTGAACTCCCASAAATCTCAGATCTTGACATTCAMTTATTCACCAGATAATATTGACAAAGAAAKAWTCAAAATAAATTGGGACATGGACTCAATTATATACCTGGGAGTGACCATTCCCAAAGACTTAAGGAATATTGTCTCAGAAAACTATAACCCTTTAATGATTAAAATAAAAAATGACGTATCCAGATGGAACCTGATACCTTATTTGGGTATATGCAAAGAGTAGAAGCTATTAAAATGATGATGTTGCCAAAACTGCTATACTTTTTTCAGACCCTACCAGCAGAACCACCTAAATCTATGTTCCAAGAAATTGACAAGCTGATTTCGAGATTTATTTGGCAAAGGAAACAACCCAGGATTAGATTTAAAACTTTACAACTGAGTGAGAGTCAAGGAGGCCTTTCACTCCCAACCATGAGTGGCTATTAGAAAGCAGCACAAATAAACCCACTGGTAGAGATGTGTGACTCTTCCTACACAGCGAAATGGAAGGAAATTTAACGTTTAAATATTGATGTCGCTCTGCAAGCAGCAATTGGAAATAYAGACTTAATAAAAGACCTTAAAGATCTCAATCCATGTTCAGAAACAGCACTTGAGACCTGGTCAAAATTAGTCAAAGAAAACAAGGARACTTGTTTACCAATCAGATGGATAGCATACGATCAAGACTTTATCCCAAATAAAACAGATAATACCTTTAAAAAATGGATTGATAAGGGCTTGGTAAAATACAATGAGCTATATCATTAAGGTTGCCTGAGAACCTTTCAARACATTAAACAGACATATGGTCTTGATAACAGAGATTTTTTTCGTTATCTACMAATCCGGCACTRTTTAGAAAAATCAAATAAGGTTGATCYAGACAGAACATTTGTTGGTATATTAAATATCTTCCTAAAATCATWTCAATCAACCTCCRTTAATAAATTAACATCCAAAATGTATAATGAGCTACAAAACCTGAAAGGACGGAATACATTACATATTAAAGAGAAATSGGATAAAGAAGGGAATCACCAAATTCACATCGATGACTGGACAGACATTTTGAWTAACTGTTGGAAATGTACATCATCACTAGTATATAGGGAATTTGCTTGGAAGACTGTTACACGCTTCTTCAAAACACCAGCTCAGAGGTGCAGAGATTCAGATTGAGACTAGGGTCCTGGGTAAAGGACCAAAATGTGTAGAAGGGATTCTATAAAACATTCATGTTCAACATAATGTTAAGTGCTGGTAAAAAAAAAAAAGCAATCACTCGGAAATGGATGACTGACAAGACGCCTACACTAGAAGACTGGGTAAACACCATCCAAGACATTTGCAAGATGGAGGAACTGACATTTGCATTAAAACTGGAACAAGACAGATTCGAAAGCTGTTGGACCCCGTGGCGGACTTTCTTGAACACCAGATCTGAWACTAATGAAAGTGAAGTGACATCCAATGTTCCTTGGCTACTCTGTTCGGTTTTGACTATTTGTTTTATGGTTCGGAAAAGTTATTCTGATGTTATACGGACTTGCTCAAACTTTTTCCTCCCCACTCTCCTGTGTGGAATTGGGATGGAGAAGGAATAAAGAAAAATGGAACGATTAAAACCAAAGCCGGGACAATCACTTGAAGGGGTATGCTATATAGATCAATGTAACAAACTGAATGGAAGATTGTATAAGACTGTACCAACTTTTGTGAACAAATGAGACGCATACTTTTAATGTTCCTCAATAAAAATTTGAATTTAAAAAAAATGACCTTCCTTGCATGTGCAATTTGAACATACATTTGTTTTTACAGTCAAATGGCCTGTCTGATTAAGGTGGGATCAAGGTGAGTACAAAATTGTATCAAGGTGAGTACAAAGTGGGATCTAGGTGAGTACAAAGTGGGATCTAGGTGAGTACAAAATTGTATCAAGGTGAGTACAAAATTGGATCAAGGTGAGTACAAAGTGGGATCAAGGTGAGTACAAAATTGTATCAAGGTGAGTACAAAATTGGATCAAGGTGAGTACAAAGTGGGATCAAGGTGAGTACAAAATTGGATCAAGGTGAGTACAAAGTGGG